ATTAGGAACCACCTGACTGGCATCAGGCTGAGCTGTCTAGGCAGTCCAGCCCTGGGAGCCATGAAGCAATATGCTCCTGATAGAAGAGCAGAAAGGGTTCTTAAATCGGGAAGAAAGTCACTATGCAATACAGGGAACAAAGGAAGGTACCTGGGGCAGAGAAGGGCTTGGTTATATAGGCAGATGGCCCTGGTTTATGTTAGGCCTCAGAGAAGGCTTGAGTACCTGTCAGAGGGCAGGTGCTCACTATTAAGTTATACTAGAAATTTATCTTAGAGTCCTGCAGGAGCAGAAAAGGCCTACTTAGAGAGAACCAGCAGCCCAGCAGGGGCTAATACTGGAATTGGGAAGGTCCAGTGGCCCAGCTAGTGGCTGGGAATAGTACTGGGACCAGCATGGTCCTGAGGCCCAGAGGGGCTAAGTGAGAGACCAGAGGGTCTGGCAGTCCAGCAAGATGCCAAAAGTGAGACTGAGGGGTCTGGCAGCCCAAAAAGGGGCCAAGAGGTCTGAGGGACAAGAAAAGGGCCAAGGGTAGGGGGACTAGAGGGTCTGGCACCCTGGAAGGGATCAAATGAGAGGTTGAGGAGCCTGGCAGCCCATGGAGGGGCTGAGTGAGTGACTGAGGGACCTGGAGGCTTGAGTGGGGCTGTGCAGGAGACAGAGCAGACGGAGGGTCTGGAGGAGGGCCACATGAGTGTAAACATGCAACAACTAAAACATCCATGATGATGCCACCTGTGAGTTTGGGTTGTGGTGTAGGGGAAGTATGCAGCCACACAATTAACCCTTAAGGCTACAGGTACCTTGCTGAGGCATGATCAGGCTTAGAGGGTCTATGAGCCCAACGACATAGTTGAGACTATTCAGGATAATCTTATTGCAGATTTGGTAGGACTGAGGCTCACTCCAAGGCCTGTGGATAGCCTCCCTTATTCAACCTTTAACAAGATCAAGGCATAGTGATTGAGGAAGTTGAGGGAGGGCAATATTAGAGTCAGAGCTGAGCAGGAGCTACATGGCCACTCAGGGGCATCATGGCCAGCTCCTAGGATTCAGACCTGTTACAATACTCAGTTGAGTTGTAAACAGACCATTAATAATTGTATATATGTTTGTAGGCCTGGAGGAAGTGGAGAATCATAGACCTGAGCTGTTGGAGGAACTGAACAAGAGCTCAGAGTTCCTGGGGTCCAGCCTACACCCGTCCTTTCAGGCATGAGTATGTTTTGAATTTCCATTATTTTATAAGTTTTACTAATATTCAACTCAGGTAAAGTGATTCTCTTAATGAGAGACAGGTGTGCTCCGTCTTTATTTCAGGCCCCTGTCAGATAAAGCAAACTCCTGTTGTCCCAATCTAGAGATGGAAGGCTTCCCTTCAAAGTAGAGCAGGGGCGGGCAAAATACAGCCCAAGGGCCAGATCTGCCCTACCAGGCTATTCTGTCTGGCCTGCAGGGCACCTGAGAAGTTTAGAAAATTAATATTTATCTGCTCCTGGCTGCCTGTCAGAGATGACAGGGGTCAGGGGCAGTAGCACTCAGGGAGAGGCAGCAAGACCCAGGAGCAAGGCCAGCCCAGCCATTCCCCACCCCTAGCCCCCTCCTACTCATAGTTTCATAGTTGGTAGGGTCAGAAGGGACCTGAGCAGATCATCAAGTCTGACCCCATGCCGTGGCAGGAAAAAGTACTGGGGTCAAATGACCCCAGCAAGGTGTTTGTCTGACCTCCTCTTAAAGACCCCCAAGGTAGGAGCCAGCACCACTTTGCTTGGAAGGTGGTTCCAGATCTTAGCAACCCTGAATGAAGTAGCGCCTCCTGAGGTCTACTCTGAATCTACCCTCTGCCAGCTTGTGACCATTATTTCTAGTCACTCCTGGTAGTGCTCGGGGGAACAGGGACTCCCCCAGTGCCTGCTGGTCCCCTCTGACTAGTTTGTAAGTGGCCACTAGATCCCCCCCTCAGTCTTCTCTTGCGGAGGCTGAACAGGTTCAGGTCCCGTAGCCTCTCCTCGTAGGGCCTG